GCCACAAGCCAAGGAAAGCTGAGGAATGCCAGGCAGCTGCCAGAAGGTAGAAGACGCAAGGAACTTCTCCCCCAAAGCCTCCAGAGGGAGTATGGCCCTGTCAACTTCATTTCAGACTCTGGCCTCTAGAATTGTGAGGGAATATATTTCTGTCATTTTAAGCTACCAAGTTTATAGTAATTTGTTATGGCTGCCACAGGACACTAATACACATACCTTCAATGAAACAGATATGATTCTAGACCCTAAGCGTTTAGCAGTGGACAAAGAGAGCAGAAGCAAAAATGAACTCATTCACTCATTAACAAATAATTACTGGCTAGATGTGGTGGCTTATACTTGTAATCCCAACACTGTGAGAGGCCAAGGCAAGAGGATTGCTTGAAGTTCAAGCCAGAAGTTCAAGGCTGCATTGAGCATGGTGGTACACGCCTGTAATCCCAGCTACTCGGGAGGCTGACACAGGAGAATCACTTGAACCCCAGAGGCGGAGGTTACAGTGAGCTGAGATTGAGCCACTGCACTCCAGCCTGAGCAACAAAGAGTGAAACTCTGTCTCCATCTCAAAAAAAAAAAAAAAAAAAAAAAAGAATAATAGCAGTGCTACTGCATAAGAGTGTGGGGATAAATATGGTAATGCATTTAGGCACTTAGCACAGTATGTGATATATTGTAAGTGATCAATGAATGTTACTCTGATTCTCAAATATGATCACTGGTTTTATCCCAATCTCTACATATTACACGTGCGTGTGCCTATTCCTGAGAAAACACTAATCAGTGCTCACTTCGGCAGCGCATGTACTAAAATTGGAATGATATAGAGAATATTAGGAATGATATAGAGAATATTAGCATGGCCGTTGTGCAAGGACGACACACAAATTTACGAAGTGTTACATAGTTTTTTTTTTTTTTTTTTTTTTTTTTTTGAGACGGAGTCTCACTCTGTCGCCCGGGCTGGAGTACAGTGGCCAGATCTCAGCTCACTGCAAGCTCCGCCTCCCGGGTTTACGTCATTCTCCTGCCTCAGCCTCCCGAGTAGCTGGGACTACAGGCGCCCGCCACCTCGCCCGGCTAGTTTTTTGTATTTTTTTAGTAGGGACGGGGTTTCACTGTGTTAGCCAGGATGGTCTCGATCTCCTGGCCTCGTGATCCGCCCGTCTCGGCCTCCCAAAGTGCTGGGATTACAGGCTTGAGTCACCGCGCCCGGCCAGTTTTTTAAATATTAAAAAAGAAAACATCACTGTTTTCTAGAAGGAAATCAACTTGAATTTTGAGTAGATAATCCCGTTTATGAATTAGAATTCAATCTTGTCTGCGCTTCTCAGGATTCTGTTAAACTCTTAACAGATAGTTTTGTAAGAGTATTGAGTTAGGAAAGTCCTAGAATTTATCCTATACAAGCTTTGATGTTTTCAATAAATTGTATATGGAGGACTAAAAATAAAGGTAGGAAAATTTAGATACCTTCCCAGAAACTTTTTACTTTTTTAGTAATTTTGAAATATTACTAATTTTATAATCTGTATATATTCATTATTTAGGATCACATATGTTTATGTAGCATACCCATTTACCTGCATATCATTTCATACCAGCAAACTAATAGGAATAATTTTGTGAATGATCTTCTATTTCGCTAAATTTGCTAATTTTGCTAAATTTGCGAGTGATCTTCTATTAAGTGGAGTCCATAGAGCAGTGGAGAATAAAATTAGAAAAAACGACCAGGCATGGTGGCTCACACCTGTAATCCCAGCACTTTGGGAGGCTGAGGCAGGCAGATCACTTGAGGTCAGGAGTTCAAGACCAGCCTGGCCAACGTGGTGAAACCCTGTCTACTAAAATTACAAAAATTAGCTGGGCATGGTGGCGCATGCCTGTAATCTTGACTACTCGGGAGGCTGAGGTGAGAGAATCACTTGAGCCTGGAGGGCAGAGGTTGAAGTGAGCTGAGATCGCGCCACTCTAGCCTGGATGATAGACTGAGACTCTGTCTCAAAAAAAAAAAAAAAAAAAAAGAACTAGTTGGTGATTCATTCATCTTTTAAAAATTCAGTTAATGCCTATTTATTGAGTATTTATTATACCCCAGGACTAATGGGATAGTGAGAGGTAGTCATAGATTATTTATGATAAAGGAGAATTGGAGAATTTAGGCTGGGTGCAATGGCTTACACCTGTAATCCTGTACTTTGGGAGGCTGAGACTGGCGGATCCCCTTAGGTCAGGAGTTCGCCACCAGCCTGGCCAACATGGCAAAACACCATCTCTACTAAAAATACACAAATTAGCCGGGCATGGTGGTACACGCCTGTAATCCCAGCTGCTCGGGAGGCTGAGACAGGAGAATCTCTTGAACCCAGGAGGTGGAGGTTGCAGTGACCCTAGATTGCGCCACTGCACTCCAGCCTGGGCAACAGAGTGAGACTCCATGTAAAAAAAACAAACAAAAAAACAACTTCAAACTGAAGAATGATTAGCTAAAAACTGAGTATGGTAGAAAAGGAGCCAAAATCAGAACAAACTACAAAGAAATGCTTTATGTTTCTTTAAAAGTAAGAATGGTACCATTTTTGAAAGGTTTAGGTCTCTGTTTCTGTCTATTCACATGCCTTTTTCTTTAGGGACCTCCCGAATTCCCTGGTAACAGTGTTCATTCTCTTCACCTTGGATCATTGGTATGCACTGCTTCAGGACGTCTGGAAGGTGCGTGAAGTCAGTCGCCTCTTCAGCAGCATCTATTTCATCCTTTGGTTGTTGCTTGGCTCCATTATCTTTCGGAGTATCATAGTAGCCATGATGGGTAAGCATAGAGGAGGTGAAACTTGTTTGGGAAGGGTGGTTGGGAAGAAATTAGTCTGAAAGCTGGAATGGGTGGCTTATGGGTATAAAGAACCTAGTGCAGCAGGAAGGCTTGGGTTCTGGATGGGATATTTCACTTGGATTCTCCCCATCCAAGCCCTCTTCCCAGGTCTAGTCATTAACATCTCCCAACTCCTAATGGCCCTTTGGGGCAGTTACTAACTTTCAGAATATCAGGAAAGAGATGAATGAGGAGATGGCACGTCAGGAGGTTCAGCTGAAAGCTGACATGTTCAAGCGGCAGATCATCCAGAGGTCTACTTCTCGCTTTTCAACCCCAACTTTCCTTCTCAAGGGTTTCCTGAGCTCATTTCTTGTTTCTACTCAACCCCACTTTTCCCTTTGTGACAGAAGATTTGCCCTCAAGGATAAGAATTCTCTGGCTCTAGAATATTGCCTGATTTTTCATCCACTGTGGGGAGCCCTCCATTTATTTTCACCTCTTGACTACAATTTGTTCTCCCCAGTTAGTTTTCTTCACTTTCTGATATGAACTCTTTTTTTCTTACCACACTTTTACTTGAATGTAACTGTCTTTGCTCTTTTTTTTTTTTTTTTTTTTTCTGCTTTGCAGGAGAAAAAACGTGTCACAGGAGGGACTGAAGTCAAGCCATAGCAAAATAGATGACAGGTTAGGAGTATGTACGTGAACTGGGATAGAAACACATGAAGGAAGAGAGGGTGGAAAACTAAAGATGAAGATTGACTTTGAGAGAGAATTCATTCATTTAATAACTGCATATTGTAGTAGGTTGACTAGTGGCACCCAAAATAATATGTCCATGTCTTTACTCCCTGGAACCTGTGAATGTGACCTTACTTGGAAAAAAAAAGATCCTAAGTTAAGGATCTTGAGATGAAATCATCCTAGATTATCCGGGTAGGTCCTAAATCCAATGGCAAGGGTACTTATAAGAGATGAAAGAGGAGAAGACACAGAGAATAGGAGAAGGCTATGTGAAGATGGAGATAGAGGTTGGGGCTAAAGCCACCACAAGCCAAGGGAGGCTGAGGAATGCCAGGCAGCTGCTAGAAGGTAGAAGAGGCAAGGAACTTCTCCCCTAAAGTCTCCGGAGGGTGTATGGCCCTGCCAACACCTTCATTTCAGACTCTGGCCTCTAGAATTGTGAGGGACTATATTTCTGTCATTTTAAGATACCAAGTTTATAGTAATTTGTTATGGCAGCCTCAGGACACTAATACAGATACCTTCAATGAAACAAATATGAATCTAGACCCCAAGTGTTTAGCAGTGGACAAAGAAAGCAGAAGCAGAAATGAACTCATTCACTCATTAACAAATAATTACTGGCTAGTTGTGGTGGCTTATACTTGTAATCCCAACACTGTGAGAGGCCAAGGCAAGAGGATTGCTTGAAGTTCAAGCCAGAAGTTCAAGGCTGCATTGAGACATGATTGCACCACTGTAGTCCAGCGTGGGCAACAGAGCAAGATCCCGTCTCAAAAATTTAGCAGGGTGGGCACAGTGGCTCATGCCTGTAATACCAGCATTTTGGAAAACTGAGGTGGTCAGATCACTTGAGCTCAGGAGTTCAAGACTAACCTAGGCAATGTGGCAAAATTCTGCCTCTACAAACAAAAATCAGCTGGATGTGGTGGTGTGCTCCTGTGGTCCCAGCTACTTAGGAGGCTGAGGTAGGCGGATCACTTGAGCCTGGGAGGCTGAGGCTGTGGTGAGCCGTGATTGTGCCACTGCTCTGCAGCCTGGGTGACAGAGCAAGACCCTGTCTCAAAAAAACAAACAAAAAACAATAAAGAACAAATAATTATTGAATACTTAGTAGGTGCTTGGGATGTATCAATGAACAAAATAGACAATAATGCCTGCTTCATGGAGCTTACCTATTAGTAGTGATAAAGAGATAATAAGCAGTGAACATATTAAGTAAATTAATCTGTTAAAATATGATCAGCATTATGGGAAAATTAAAAGTAGAACAGGTTAAAGGAGATTGGGAGTAGAAGGTGGGATTGCAGATGTGTTGTAGTTTTATTTTTTTGGTTTTTTTTTTGAGACAGAGTCTTGCTCTGTTACCAGGCTGGAGTGCAGTGGCACGATACCGGCTCACTGCAACCTCTGCCTCTGGGTTCAGGTGATTCTCCTGCCTCAGCCTCCCAAGTAGTTGAGACTACAGGTGCCTGCCACCACACCCGGCTAATTTTTTTTTTTTTTCTTTTTTTCCCGTAGAGACGAGGTTTCACCATATTGCCCAGGCTGTCTCAAACTCCTGAGCTCAGGCACTCCATCCCCCTCAGCCTCCCAAAGTGTTAGGATTACAGGCGTGAGCCCCTGTGCCCAGCCACAGATGGGTTATAGTTTTAAACAGGGTAGTCAGGGTGACCTCATTGAAAAGGTAATATGAGCAAAGACTTGAAGGAGGTAAGGGGATCACCATGTGGGTATCTATAAGAAGAGTGTTAATAGGCAAATGAAACAGCTAGTGCAAAGGTCCTAAGCTGGAAGCATGCTTGGTGTGTTTGAGAAACAGCAAGGAGGCCATTGTGAATGGAGTAGAGTGAGCAGGGGGAAGAGTGCTGGGAAATGAAGTCAGAGAGATAATGGTGACATGATCCTGTAGGGTTAGGGGTGCCATTGTAGGGACTTTGAAATGGAAAGCAGAACAGAGGAGTGACATGAGGTGACTTACATTTAAGAAGGATTACTTGCTGTGTTGGTAGAAGAACAAGGGAAGGAGCAGAGAGATCAGTTGGGAGGCTATGCTGCTGCCTAGGCAAGAAATGATGACAGCTTAGGCCAGAGTGGTAGCAGTGAGTTAGTGAGAAAAGATTTATTTCGAAGGTATAGAGTCAGCATGATTTCTTGATGGACTAGATATGGTAGGGAAGAGAAGAGTTAAGGATGACACATGAATGATTGAGTTTGGAAGTGCCTGAGTTTAGAGTTTGGGAGTATTTTGGCTCTCATTGTCTTATGCCCCAGCTTTAGGGGGTGGCCAGGACCAGAACCAGAATAATGAGTGGACTAGTCATGTCTTGTAAATGTTTGTGAAGTCATGATTTTCTCCTTTCAGTACAAGAGGAGCTGGTCAACAAAGGGAAAGTTTGGACTTATCAGAAGTGTCTGAAGTAGAGTCTAATTATGGTGCCACTGAAGAGGATTTAAAAACATCTGCATCAAAAACAGAAGAGACCTTGTCAAAAAAGAGAGAGTACCAGTCTTCCTCCTCTGTTTCCTCCACATCCTCTTCCTATTCGTCCTCTTCTGAATCCAGATTTTCTGAATCTATTGGTGAGCCAAAGAACTATAATAATGAGTTTTTTCCATTTGAATTCAGACTACTCTATAAGACATCTTACTCTTAACAGGAGCTCTCCTACTGTATCTCCTTTCCAATTTTCTGGTCTTAATGACTTTCTTTTTGCTTCTTAATTTCCCCTGTCCTCCTTCTTCACTTTGGGTAAGTGTGGCTGTGGCCCTCTTTGCTCACTGTAAAAAGTGATTTCTTGCTGATGCACCCTTTCCCTCCTTGCTTCCTGTTACCTCTTCCCACCCCACCTTTCCACCCACACCATAGGATTTACCAGCTTTTACCCAACTTTTACAAACCTAGCCATGCTTTTCTCAAGCATTCCTCCCAACAGGTCATTTGGACTGGGAGACTCTTGTGCATGAAAATCTGCCCGGGCTATTGGAAATGGATCAGGATGACCGTGTTTGGCCCAGAGACTCACTCTTCCGATATTTTGAGTTGCTAGAAAAGCTTCAATATAACCTAGAGGAGCGTAAGAAGTTACAAGAGTTTGCAGGTATGGAGTTAGGGCAGTCATGGGGACCATGGGAATATATATATAGCGTTTATAACTGTGGAGGAGGAGGAGGGTGTCCGCTATTCTGGCATCTCAGCTTCTAAATTTCTGCCTATACCTAAAATAGGCAAATTCTTGGTTTGGTTTGTCACATTCTGGGCATGTGTCCCACTTTTCCCTAACTGAGAGAGAACCTAGAAACTCTGCTTCTGTAGCACGGGACGCCCAAATCCTATGAGGTATGAGAGCTTATTTCCCAAGAAGAGAAAGTCTAATCCCAGTTGTTGGGAATTAGGACAAGGTAGGCTCTTGCTTGATTTGGGCAGCCCACCGGTTTCTGCACGTTTGTTCTCTCTGAAGATTGCATTTCAGACTTGAGCAGCAGGGCCTAAGGCTCAATCTGGAGAGCTATGGGGGATCAGATAATGAGCAGGAGGCCCACAAGTGCTCACTGTTCTAACTCCCTAAAGAAGTTTATGAATTCTAAACTTCTGTTTGTATCTGCCCCTTCTAGTGTCAGCCTCTATAAAGATAAATATGTGATTTCAATAGTAGAGTTTGATGTAAACTGAGCACTATCTTTTCAAAGTTATTTTTCCTAAATTTCATTACTTCATGACTAATTTTGATTAATACAGTTTCCCTCTAAAAGCAAAAAAAAAAGCTGGGCATGGTGGCTTACACCTGTAATCCTAGCACTTTGGGAGGTTGAGGTGGGCAGATCACGAGTTCAGGAGATCAGGATCATCCTGGCCAATATGGTGAAACCCTGTCTCTACTAAAATACAATAAAGCAGCTGGGCATGGTGGCACATGCCTGTAGTCCCAGCTACTCCGGAGGCTGAGGCAGGAGAATTGCTTGAACCTGGGAGGCAGAGGTTGCAGTGAGCGGAGATCACACCACTGAACTCCAGCCTGGCAACAGAACGACACTGCATCTCAAAACAAAGCTAAAACAGAAGAGTTAGGGGCGAATTTTTATAATTTAATGTGTGTTATCTGGGTTTTTCCCCTTATACCTAGTTGAAATCAACTCAGTGTGAAAATAAGAAATTAGAGAGGAGGACTGTGTGTTTGTGTGTGGTGGGCACAGGTGGGCAATGAGGAATTTATAACATTGGAACATGGAATTTAGGGCAAGATGTGAAAGACAGGCTTTGCTTACTTCAAAACGTTGCCTAAATTTAATCCTGTTCCTGCTAGTCCTCCTTAGCCCTGCCTTCCCACTTATTCTCTAGGGAGGACAGGGTGAAAAGGAGGAAAATGCAGCAAGGTGGTTTCTTTAATCCTGATAAACTTGTCTATGGCAAAGAGTACACAGAATCATAAAGCTTAATTTAAAGATTAGTAAAGACTTGTGGGAACCTAGAACCCAGAAAAGCAAGGTCTTCACCAAACATTTACGTATGTAGAATATTCTTAGTTCTCCAGCCTGACAATCTGTTTCCTTTGCAGTGCAGGCACTGATGAACTTGGAAGACAAGTAAAGCAATGGATGGCTTCAATATCCTTGGGCCCAGCAAAAGATAATGAAGGGAATTGTTGAAAATAGAGAATTGAAAATATAAATGTCTGTTCAGATAGAACAATGTCTGTTCATTAAAATTAAAAAGTATAAGTGTGTAGGCCAGGCGTGGTGAAACCCCGTCTCTACTAAAAATACAAAAAAAAAAAATGGCCAATATGGTGAAACCCTGTCTCTACTAAAATACAATAAAGCAGCTGGGCATGGTGGCACATGCCTGTAGTCCCAGCTACTCCGGAGGCTGAGGCAGGAGAATTGCTTGAACCTGGGAGGCGGAGGTTGCAGTGAGCCGAGATCATGCCACTGCACTCCAGCCTAAGCAACAGAGTGAGACTCTGTCTCAAAATACATAAAAAAAAAAAAAAAAAAAAAAAATTAGCTGGGTGTGGTGGCGGATGCCTGTAATCCCAGCTATTCGGGAGTGTGAGGCAGGAGAATCACTTGAAGCTGGGAGGCAGAGGTTGCAGTGAGCCAAGATCATGCCACTGCACTCCAGCCTAAGCAACAGAGTGAGACTCTGTCTCAAAATACATAAATAAATAAAAGTATAAGTGTCTAATATATACTGCTGATAGCTGCTCAGTAAGATAAGGCATATTGAAAGGCATAAGGTCAACAAAAAGAGTTAGTTCAAGCTGAGTGTGGTGATGTGTGCCTCTAGTCCCAGCTATGAGCTGAGGCAGGATTGTTTGAGGCCAGGAGGTTGAGGCTGCAGCAAAGTAGGATCATACCACTGCATTCCAGCCTTGGCAACATAGCAAGACCCTGTCTCTAAAAAAGAACAAAACAAGTTAGCTCAGATGCCAGTGGAGACTGTGCTCCTTAGCTTTCTACCCTTCCCACGGCTCCTGAATCCGACTCATTTCTTGACTTTATCATTATAGCTTCCACCCCTCCTGCAACCTCTACTGCCTGATTATGGTCCTAATTTTACCCTCTCCCTCCCTGATGCATAGGTAAAGGCCTCTCTGGAGTAAGGAGATCTTCAGAGCTGTTAGTATAACTAATTGAGAAGTATTGTTTCCATTGCCTGTTCTACTCATGTTGCTTCTCTTGTGAACCATTAACTTCAATTGGATATTATTTTTACCTGTTACTGGACCATAAGTCTCTTTATTTCATTTTGCCATTGCTCAGGGCAGTGTAAATCAGTAAGTGTTGTACAGGTTTTTAGTGTTAGAAGGGATTTCAGAGTTAATCTATCTCCCATCAAAGCAGGAACACCTTTTAGAACATCACTGAAAGGAGGATTATCCAGGTAATGCTTAGTGTTTCTAGTTATTTGGGATTTATTATCTAGAAGGGATCCCATTCCATTGTTAGAAGACTTAAGTCTTTAGACATGTTTATGATTAAAAATTATATCACTTATTGAGTGTTTAACATGTATGAGGATATTTGTATATTTAGTATATATATATACTGTATATAGAGTATGTATATTTCATAGAATAATCTTATATGGAAGATAGCCTCCTATTTTTAGAGATCAGAAAACTAAGGCCTAAAGAAATTAAGTAAGTTAAGTAACTTGCCCAAGAGCATATACCAAGTAAGAGGTAGAGCTAAGGTTCTAACTCAGGTTAAAAATTCTGAGTTGAGAAAAAAATCAGTTGAAGCCATTTAAACAACAAAATAGCTTACTGGAGACTGGGAAGTTCATAGGTAGTATAGCTTCAGGATTGATTTAATGTAAAAATTCACTGTTGTTAGATCTGTGGTTTTGTTCCTCTGGAATTTTGATATCTGCGCTCTCCTCCACGTGTTCTTGTTATTCTGAGACTGGCTTCACTTGGGTAGCCAGATAATTTTCTGAAGCGCCTAGGCTTGCATACCTATTTACCCATATCCAGGGGAAGAGAGCCAGTGACTCCTTTCTCAGTCAATGAACAAAATGTTTGAGCTTTGGGTCACAATCATGGTTATTCTTGGAGTGAAGATACTGATGGGGAGGAAGCATGAAGCCTCTGGAGTGCTGTAGATATGTTCCATATCTTGATCTGCATGGTGGTCACACAGGTATATATAGATGTAAAAATTCAACAAACTTTACACTTAAAATTTGGGTATTAACTGTATGTAAGTCAATCTCCACTCCTCTACAGACACATCCTGACCACCACTGATTGGACCAAGAAGTTAGATCATATGCTTACGAATTGTTGAGGTAATTCGTAACGAATTGTTGAGGTAATTCGTAACGAATTGTTGAGGTAATTCGAATGAATTTTTGAGGTAAGGTGAATGTGATGGAATCACTAATTAAGGCTTTCTCCTGAACTGGAGGTAAGGTCAATAACACCCAACCTGAAGTAAGGGCTGCTACCCAAATGGAGAGGAGATGAAAGGGGCAATAAGGAGGTAATTATAAAGTCCTCACCTAAGAGTGTGTCTGGCAAAAAGGCCAAGATGGGGAGAAGGCAAATGAATTGAATGTCCCGAATAAACAAATCTATGAAGACAGAAAGTAGATTAGTGGTTTCTTGGGGGTTGGGGAGGGAGGAATTGAGACTGACAGATGATAGGTATAGGGTTTCTTTGGCAGGTGATGGAAATGTTCTGGAATTCAATAGTCTTGAATAGTTCAACAATATATTTAAAAACACTGAATTGGGCTGTGGGCAGATGGAGTATCACTCTGTCGCCCAAGCTGGAGTGTAGTGGCACAATCTCTGCTCATTGCAACCTCCGCCTCCTGGGTTTAAGCGATTCTCGTGCCTCAGCCTCCCAAGTAACTGAGACTACAGTCGCACGCCACCACGCCTGGCTAATTTTTGTATTTTTAGTAGAGACAGGTTTTTGCCATGTTAGCCAGGCTGGTCTTGACCTCCTGGCCTCAAGTAATCCGCCCCTCCTTGGCCTCCCAAAGTGCTGGGATTACAGGTGTGAGCTACTGTGCCCGGCCCCCTCCTGACTTTCCATAGCTGATCCGTGGTCTGTGCATTCTGCATTTTATTCTTTAACTCTTTCTTCAGTGAAAACAATCTGGCTTTAATCCTACAGGAGTGGAAGTTTATTCAACAAATTTGTTGAGTTTGTATGTTCCAAACATTGTTCTAGACACTTGGGATATATCAGTGAATGAACAAAACAGAAATCCCTGTCCATCCTAACTAGTTCCTCATATGATCAAATAATAAAACTTCCTTGAAGATAGTAATTTTGTCTCCTCCCCTGTTTTCTGGTTGTTGTTTGTTTGGTTTGGTTTGGTTTTTGAGACAGGGTCTTGCTCTTTCACCCAGGCTGGAGTGCAGTGGTGCAATCATAGCTCACTGCAGCTTTGATCTTCTAGGCTCAAGTGATCCTCCTGCCTCAGGCCCTTAAGTAGTGCGGACTGCAGGTGCATACCACCACACTTGGCTAATTTTTTAAATTTTTTGTAGAGATGGGTGTTTCACTGTGTTGTAATATGTCCAAAACTGAACTTATTCCCACTTCTTCAAACCTGTTCTTCCTATTCTAATCTCAAGAACTGCCAAACAATTTCTATGGGCTGTGGAAGTCGTCAAAGATCTCCTTGCTGCTTAACTTTTTCTGTATTTTGTCTGAAGGTCTTTCACTTAAGATGCTATTTCTTGTACCAGTTTTTGTGTTAAGATTCTTTAAGTTGGCCAGGCGTGGTGGTTCACACCTGTAATCCCAGCACTTTGGGAGGCCGAGGCGGGCAGATCACCTGAAGTCAGGAGTTTGAGAGCAGTCTGACCAACATGGCAAAACCCCGTCTCTACTAAAAAATACAAAAAATATCTGGGCATGGTGGCCTGCACCTGTAATCCCAGCTACTGAAGCTGAGGCAGGAGAATTCATTGAACCCGGGAGGCAGAGGTTGCAGTGAGCCAAGATTTTGCCATTGCACTCCACTCTGGGCATCAACAGCGAAACTCCATCTCTAAAAAAAGAAGGTTCCTTTTTTTTGTTTTGAGTCAGAGTCTCGCTCTGTCTCCCAGGCTGGAGTGCAGTGGCGCAATCTTAGCTCACTGCAAGCTCCTCCTCCTGGGTTCATGCCATTCTCCTGCCTCAGCCTCCCAAGTAGGTGGGACTACAGGCGCCCACCACCATGCCCAGCTAATTTTTTGTATTTTTAGTAGAGATGGGGTTTCACTGTGTTGGCCAGGATGGTCTCGATCTACTGACCTTG